CAAACAAGGTCACTGACCTTAACTTAGCATGTGGCCTTTTGCTTAGAAACGGTTATCTAGGTTCTGGGGGCACTTCGGAGACCCACCTGGAACTTGATCTTTTTTGGCCTTTTTTGACCCGAAGGTCATGACCTTGACCTAAGTGAGTTCACGTACAGGTTAAGGCACCCTGTAAATTGGGTGTATCGAGCTTTTTTAGTTCCCGAGATCTTGGGGGGTCAAATTGACCCCACCCCACCCGAGTGAAGGGTATTTAGCCGGCCACCCGGGCGCGTGTTAAGGCAAAGTTTCCTTTACCCTCACCTTGATAGGTTGAAAGGGGGAGGGTGGATGATGCACACACACCTCATTGCGGATTTAGGATACCTCTCCGGAACGTTTTGCAATTACAACCAATTTTTAGAAGCTTACGGGGCATGTATCGTGCGTGCCCTGACACAGAAAAACGTGTTCTTAGCATTTCAGGTTCCGGAGCAGTGGCGGTTTTTGTGGAGCACTGCACAGCAAGCTGCTGCCTAAGCGGGCCGGCCGACGCAACCAACGATGCCGCGGAATGCGCGCGGTGGGCCGACATCGTTTGGTTAAAGAAGTCATGTGCCATAAATGTATGCTAAGAGTACACATTAAAATAAGCCATTTTACTATAAATTGAATAAGCACATCTGTTTAAATTTCTTGTCGCCAAAAGACATGGTTTCGAAGATCAGATACTGTTCAATTGAAAAATACGATTTTCAGAAAACTTTCACGTTGTACCTGTCATAATGGGGTCAGTTATTGACATGAAAGCTTGAAAAGTGGTACCAATCACGATATTTTGTTAACACCATTCCACTCCTTTTTCTAGTCCATTTTTATTAGTTTGGAAGCTCCAGGGATTGCATCAACCTCCCCCAGCAGTCCGTGTTATGAAAACGGCGAATCGGGCGAAGGTTATTCCGTCATACTGGCATTAAATTGACAAAGGCATAGATAAATTAGGAAATTTTTGAAACCTGAAATGTGGCTGTTTAGTTATGGACATATATAGTCCCAGTGCACGATCTTTCTACCAACAATAAATTGTTCGCGAAACACAAAGTTGCACTGCACAGCATCCTTCGATTAACCCAAAACTTTGACAAATGATTGTTCATGACACGGGCCTGAAGACCTCACGCCCGCTTTAGAGCCCAATTATTGCGAGTCCTGAGGTAACAAAGGTGAATTTAAGGGGAATGTTTCCTATTCTTATGGGGTTTTGAGCTGAAACAGCCATCTTAAAGATAATTTGGTGCAGTTCACAGCTCCGTCCTTCATAAGACCTAAACTACTGTAGTTCCTGGGCTACATGCCCGCGAAGATGGGGAACGTATTTCAGGTCACCTTGGCACACATGACGCCATGATAACTTCATTTAAAATCCGCCATTCCATAAGTCATGCGGCGATTATGGCCAATAAAAATATGTCGATCGAGTCGTTAATATCTGACGTTCGTGAGCACAATCTCCAGATATAACGGCCGTTAACTGGCTCTTAATCAATGTTGTGCAAGGTGCGATGACGTAATCAAACAACGCCGTATCTAGGGGCATATTTACTAAACAAAGAAACTGCCTTGTTCTAGAACAGTCCTCTATTTAAAAGTGCACCAATAGTTATAAAGAAGTCTGCTTTGTCATATCTAATGCTTGTTTCAATATCTTCAAATGTTAAACATTGCCTTTAACAAAGGAGATGAAAGTGCTCAAATGCCTTACACCCAGGGTACCCCAAGGGAAATCAATTTATTGACCAAAACGCAATAGTCGGTGTATTTGCATGGACTACGGGCGATGTTAAGTGATCGCTCCCAGCACCGTTTAACTTTAAGCCACGCAATTTGCTGTGGCTGAGTTTCTACGGGTAGAGGTGCTTAGAGTGCCGCTTGACAGCCACGGAAAGCGAATAAAAACAAGGCTCAGACGGCATTGCTTTCGTATGTTCCAGAGATATGTGCGTAATATACATATATATATATATATATATATATATATATCCATTTATGGGACACGACGTCGGGTGGCGTCGTGTCTCATAAATGGAGCCCAAGTCACGACGCCGGGTGGCTTTGTGACTTGGGCTCAGGTCGCTGTGTCGCGTGTGGAACGGCTGGGTGCGGGGAGCAGGACGACCTGTCACCGGTAGGCTGGATGTGATGGCGAAGTTAACGGGTCACTGGGGGACCCAGTAAATAGAAAAGCGTGTAGGCTATTTGTCAAGACTTCAATGTGGTAAGGGGTAACCATCCACTAGCAATGAACTGTTTCTGTTAGACCCGCAACTGTCGTGAGTTTCGGGTATGCGTCGACTATTGACACAGCGGGCCGTCCCAACAGTAGCAAAACGAGAAACGCACGCAATTAATTGCTGAAACTTGACGTAGCATGCACATAACAGCATATGTTCGGCCATTATTTAAGGAGGGGAGGGCCGAATCATGGTTTCACGACCTTAGGAGAAGGGGACCATTGCCCCTTTGCCACCCCCGGGATCCGCCCTCGGCACGGGCGACGGAGCTTTCCTAAGATGGGGGCAAGCACGCTGTTTAAATCACTTTCGTCTTTACATCGCCGTTGGGTCGCATAGTTACCTTCGCCGTTCTTGCGTTGTTTAGTTCACCTGATGTGGCGAGGATTAAGAGGGTGCTATCTTCTTCTTTACCACCCAGAAAACTCTCTGTCTGCTTGAACTAAGCGGAAAGCACGAGTCTGAATCATAGATTTTAAGATCCGCTTCAAATAAGTGCCAGTGAATACCAATATAGGCTATCTTTTATGGAATGAGCCTGGGCACTTCGGTAAATATTGTGAATTTAGATGCATTTTCTATCTTCAAAACTATGTGTGCTCCGATGGTGGGGACGTCGTTCTGCGTAGCTACTGGCGGACGGAGTCATATGCCTGTAGAAACCAATCAGCGGGTGTGAAGCGTGATATGTCAGATCAGGCCACACGGGTTAGATGTCGGTTGCGACCTTGTGGGAGCTGGCCTCACCCAACGACACTGCATAGAGCTTGTCAACCTGCACCAAATGCAAGTAATTGTGACCTAGTATTTTGGAACCAAGTCATGGAAGGAACAGCACTGTTGTGAAGAGTTTGTCGTTTTGGTATATTTGACCTGGCCGGACCTTGAACGGCCTGGCCTGAATGGATGTTATAAAAAAGCGCCACTGTATGCTTTGTGAAAAGATCCCTAATAAACACTAATGTAAGGAGGTACCTTATGATGCGTGTTCTACGACAAACATACCTATGCTGCCGGGTGCTGGAGGAATGCGGCGTGCGGCGTTGTGACCACGAGGAAGAGATCGCCACTGATGACCTTTAAAGCCAAGCGCCTTGAGGTTTCCAAAGCGGGTGGAAACATTTGAAAACCGATGAATGAAATTATACCATCTGGCGTTAAGCGGCTGGAAAGCTACGCCACACAAAAGCTGGGCCTCTGTGACTCTCTCGCCCGGCCGCTGTTGAAATATCAAGAATAATGGGATCCTTAGTCCATGTTCTTGAAGCCGTTTGTTTGCTTTAATGTCTTAATGTTAAATGTTTCGTTTGTTTGTTGATCGTTTGATTTTTCACGGCTTCTTCTCTTTCCATAGATAGATGGTCTTATCCCGGGAGCGACGGATGTGAATTCGGTGCTGAAGGAGCTCTGGTGTTGCGTGAATCAGCTTTGGAGCTTGGTGCTGAAAGTATTGAAGCCAAATGCCTTACGTAGGCTATTCGCCTGGGAGTTAGTGGCATCGTCCACACCGATAAATTCGTATTACTACATGTATTTTTACATGATGTTAAGTAGGTTTTACATATAAACATTTGGCCAGGAGGCCACTTACGGTTTTCGGACATCGATTCACAGTTAACACCAACACGCCACAGAGACATCGTTACAGTGGAGCAGTGGAGCGGCAGTTGTTGGCTGTCCACAGTCCACAACAGCTCTCATCACCACGAATTTGATAACGCGATCGCCTGTTCACCTCCGCTAAACCACGCCAGACAACCGGAGCCGCGTCTAGAGCATCCAGTCACGCACGCGATATGGTGCACGGGTGCACGTGCACGACACTGTCACACGTACGGCGTGCACGTGCACGACGCTGTCACACGCGCTACTTGTCTCGGTCATGCCTGCCTCACGGGAGAGCAGCCTCGGCGTGGGCGTCGTGCAGTCGATGCGCAATCGATGCGTGTGCGGCGCGACACGAGCGCACCTTCAGTGACACGACACGGAAAGTCTCATATTCGCGTCGTGATATCGTTCATGCGTCAGGCATGCGACACCGACATGGGTGGGAGTGTCGAATGACACGGTCAAACGAGCGTGTCACACGACACAGGAAACAAGGCCCACAACAAATTAAGACGGTTTGGACACACATTAAGTGATATGATCCCGAAAATATGGGTCATGTCACACGAGTAACGACCCGCCGCGACGCAGCACGCCCCGCGTCACGCCGGCAACGACCACCTCACTCAAACTCAGCAGCATACTCGATGACAACTGGCTCACACTCGGACATGTGGCGCTTGGAAACGCCTGGAACAGCGCTAGGGCGGCTGACGGCGTTTCATGGCAGGTGACTCTCGGATCCCTGATGTCATCCCGCGTTGCGTGGCTTCGTCGTCCACCACGCGCACGCCTCTGTACGCGTCCTATTCCGCCAGGCGCGCCACCTTTCTCCTCCCCGAGATCGAGAACACAGAGGGCGCCGTGGCACGGACGGCGCTCCCGCCCGCTAGATGTCTCTGCCGACCCCATTCGGAGCCTTCCAGCGGTCCGTACGTGACCAGCGATGGTTCCCGCATTCGACGGGTCTCGCTCTAGACCGGCTTCCCGCCAGTTGACCGCCGGTGCATGACTGCGGGTTCCCCGACGGCCTTAGGCGTCTCGCCGCTCAGAAGAGACGGTAGTGGGTCAGTGCCCAGGTCTCGTCGCTCAGAAGAGAAGGACGCACAGAGGAGACGATGGTGGGTCAGTCTTCGGCTCTCGCTGCTCAGAAGAGACGGTGGTGGGTCAGTTACCTGTTTTCGTCGCTCGGAACAGACAGTCGCTCAGAAGAAAAGATGGTAGTTCAGTTCGCAGTCCCGCTAATCAGAGGAGACGGTGACGGGCCGATCCCAGCCTCGCCGCTCAGAACAGGTGGTGGTGGGTCAGTGCCCGCGTCTCGCCGCCCAGCAGGTAGGGCGCGGCCGAGTTCAGCAGGCTGGAGAAGGGTCCGCCGGGCAGGGCACTCTGCGGCGGCGGCGGGCCGTACACGTGACTGGCGGTGCTGAGTGGCGGCGGCGTGTTCTGGCCAGACCGGGGCGGCGGAGGCGGCGGAGGCGGCGGAGGCGGTGGTGGCGGAGGCGCCACCTGGTGCGGGGACGGACTGTTGGAGCTGCCCGCCACAGGGGCCCACTTGTTGACGTCCGGGGACGAGACTGAAACAAACATGGAAATCCATCAACGGGTGAAATGTGCGGCCCTTCGGGACTCGGATTGGCGCGAGGTTCTGCCACATAATATTGTTGCCTCCTAATTCAGGTACTCCCGTGAATGTACGCTGTTCGTTTGTTCTATTATATCAATGATTACATCTATTTCTAACGAAGAAGAATCAAAATGACACTCCCAAAACTCCTAATTGCCAAAAAAGAATATGTATAACTGTCAGTCGTCAAGGTTTTAATACCGAGCATGCTCGAGTAAAGAGTGATATTTTATGCTGTGGTATGTAAAAACACAAGATGTCTCAGTCTGATATCAAACATGCATAGACGAAGGTGACAGCTGCCTCATTCTCATCTTAATTTAAAAGATACCTTCACGACTACATATGTTTTAGGCATACCATATCTTTTCGAACCGAAGGCAGCATTTCGCGTGATCATTACATTACTGCGCCCGCGCTATTGAAATATCATTTTTCCACCCGCTCGTAAAACAATCTCTGGTATAAAAAAATTCAAAATCCATTTGTAATTTCATCACACGCTAGAAGGCATATTGTATTCCACAGCACATGATTAACCTGGCATTTTCCTCGCTTGTCGAGTGACCCGTTTAGAGTGCTATTGCATTTTTTTATTTAAAACACTAATGAGTATTAGCGTTTTTGATATCCACATTAAATGTTAAATGCCACCAATAAAATTGTTAATGAGTTCCCGCTATTGAAGTGACGGCTTTGTACCTCGTCTTTGGTTCGACCAGTACATCACTGTCCTTCTTAAGATCATTTGTACAATAACTTTGTTACTGCATTCCATGTACAGCATTAAAATGTACTGACATAACACCTTCGACGCGTCGGATTGACCAGCCAAAGGAGCCCGCCTCGGAGCAGCAGCGGCCGGCCGGGGACAGTTGAACGGGGACAGCGGCCGCGCGGACCTGGCACGCCCCAGGTCGGGGAGTCCCGTCCCAGGTCGGGGCGGCCCGTCCTCGAATCGACCGCGGGAACAGTCGGCGGCCGGGCCGCTCTGACGGCCACGTTTAATCTTGGAAATTGCCCGGCCGGCGCCATTGATCTGGGTTAGCGTCTGCCCCAGGAGCCGGGCGACGGCCACGCCGGCGACACCCGGGAGTAAACAGGTCCGCCGGTGCTGTCTCCAGCCCGGGCTCGGCCGTGCAGGAGTGGACAGTCCTAGCGACTCATAGCTCAGTGGCGCGCGGTATGTGGCCAAACAGGTCTGGTGGCGCAGGACACGGTCTGGTGCACCACGCAGGAGTAAACAGGTTCAAACACAGGGGACACGGGTGTGCCACGCGGATGTTAACAGGTCCAGTACCACAGAACGCAGCCGTCCGGTGTGCACCACGCAGGGGTTAACAGGTCCACTGGCACGGGACACGGGTGTACCACGCGGAGGTTAAAAGGTCCAGTGACACAGAACGCAGCTCAGGGTGTACCACCCAAGGATGCACCCAGGTCCACCGACACCCCGGTCTGGTACCACGGTAAGGCGGACGGGACGTACCTGGAGGGTGTGGTTTGGAGTCCAGCTCCTGACCGGGCGGAGTCGGTTTCGTGTCCTTGCTCTGTCCAGTCGGTGGCTTGCCATCCGTTTTGTTCGCCTGGCCGCCTGCGCCCGCGTCTCCCGTGTTGTTGTTGTTGACCGCCTGTTTCTGCTGGTTCATGCGTTCCTGTTTCCGGAACTTTGCCCGCCGGTTTTGAAACCACACCTGTGGACGGGGACTAAGGTCAGGGAACTGCATGCAAGGAAAAACTCCGTCGTGCACCGAAACCCAGCCTGAACGAGAATTTTTTCAGCATTCATGAAAACAACGAATCTTGCTACCATCGTCTCCGTCTCTGCTTTCACATTTCATATTTCACAGTGTGCCCAGGTCGGCCAAATTTGGACACGTTGTGCCCGGGAAGAGCCTAGGCCAAAATGCATGCCTTGTTCAACGATAAAGTTTGATCAATATACGCCGTGGGTTTTTCGCGTGCATTGCCTGTGTGGAAACCAGCTTTCACGCTGGCAATGCACGCGAAAAGTTTATTTTGTCTACCGAGGTAATTGCACGCAAAGTCTTTTCTGTCAGTTCTTTGAAGCTTCCAAGGGAAATACAGAAAAGAAGAGGAGCTCGATATCTCCCAAGTCGGGAAGTCTAACGGACCGTGTTCATATCTTCCTCAAAATAGTGTTTTCAAATTAGTGAGAGCATGGGTGCAACCACGTATCTTAGATTGGGAATAACTCAGCATTGGGTTATAACTTGAATCTCGGCGGACAATGTCACATGATAATATAATTTTGAGTGAGAAAACGTGGAAAACGTGCATTCTGCGCGAACGATGGGGGACAAAAACGCCTCCTGGGAAAAGTAGGGGAGCCGCTCCGCCTCGCCGTTCCACACTGGTAACACCCATTGAGTGAAAGGCACAAATAAATCATGAGTATTCCTACGTGCGCATGAGCACTCACATTAGCGTTGTGAGTTCAGAGATTTGATGCCGAGTTAATGACCCTTAGTATGCTAGGAGGTAGAGGTAAAACGACGTTACAGTGCGAATATTAATTATATTGACAGTACTCGACATCTTAAGCTGGGCTTATGATCACTCGTCGTCATAATCACGAGCGTTTTCTTGTTTTTGTGCAGTTCTTTTTGGTAGCAAACTGAGTTCTCTTCTAAAAATGTTCGGGCGGAGAGAAGCATTGGAAACTAAAGTCAAGCCCCTCTGTATCACAGCATGTTCCGTCTCCACTGCGGTCCGTAACGAAGTCTGCCTGCTATTCGAATCACGGAGTTGTGCTGCTTCATAATGCTGTGGGTAATGCCAGGCGTTCCAGAAAAAAATAAATGAATGCAGATCGTTCCTATTCAGACATTTGTTTGCGTATCAAGACGGATGATGCGTCGATGCAAAGAGCATTCCATGCTATTTTATATCTGACCGTTGAGCTCTCCATATCCCTCTTAGCGTGGAAAGTGCAGCACGTGTTCCATGAGGCCGCAACCTCCTTCAGGCTCTGTGCCCCCCGATCCTCCGCTGCTAAAATTAGGATACATCTCTGGCTTTCTGGGTCTTATGGTCATTCTGATATACTATTTCAGGTCTTAGCTAGTTTTGGGGCTCCGTGTGTACACCAATGAATTTAAATATACACATCGAAAAAATTCGGGGCGCTTTAGTTGGAGGAATGTGCCAGCCAGCTGTTTGGCTCCTCCGATGAACTATGTTTTGGTCAAAATTGCTATATAGCTCACTGTCCCGCTTTCTTAACCACATAAAGTGTTCGCGCTGAATTGTTGAAGACACTGGCGTGACAGATTTTTACCGCGGACTTCCTTTAAAGACAATCAAGGCTGGTTAAGGAACGCCTTACACCGATCGGCTGTTGCCGTCATTAAAACTCCTCAGCTATCCTGAAACCAGAAGGAGTCAATAACGCCTCGACCGTTGATGGCACACCAGGCGATGCGCTTATCGCCGCGCAGTGCTGCTTCGCTTGTCACTGCGCGGCAGTGCTTCGCTTCTCCCGCGCAGTGGTGCTTTGCTGTTCGCCGAGCAGCGGTGCTTCGCGAACTTCTGCGGGAACTTCGGCAGACCAAAAATGATAGTGTTGGTTATTGACTTCACTGCCTAACTGAAGTTGGACCTCATCTTTAAATCAAATCTGGTCGATGGCTGAGCGGTTACATTCGCACTGGGGAAGAAGCAGGCACTGTGGTGCGCATGCGCGTCATAATCAGCTGGTGAGAGCTTCTGATGCATATGGGATCAGCTTCGGCTCTTGTCCTGCCTTCCGACTGGTTTTGCTGCAGCTTGGTTTGGCAATGGCTTTGCTACAGTTTGTCTCCTGCCGGAGCCAAAAGAAACACTTTCTGAGGTGGAGGGGCTCCACAGCAAGGCTCTTGCTTTTGCAACCTCGGCCGGGGCTCTTTTGGCTCGTTTCTATAGGCTAATTTCACCAGCCGGGTTTCAAGTCTGCTCTACGTTTAACTACTGGATATGGGACACAATAAGTTTTCTTGGTAGTGTGTTCCTTTCAGTTTTGACGATCGATTTCCATTCGGAATTCATTTTACTACTTTTGGTTTTTTATGTGCCGTACACGGTAACACGGCCTCTTGAAAATGGTTAACGTATCACACAAAACGCCATTGAGATGGCCTTCAAACAAGTCATGGAAGAGTGCTGTCATTTCGTTTAAGGAACTCTATAACGAGAGAAGATGCGTCCTTTTTCGTGAAGCTCCCGGTACAACGCGTGGGCGTATTAGAAGCAAGTAAATATTGTACAAAGACTAAGCAGTTTGAATACTTTAGGAAGAGTATGAAATAAGCAATGTAACTGGCAACATCCATGACGTTGACTTAGCTATGGGCGGTCCTGCGCTCGCTGCTCTGTCAGGTAGGCCGTCCGGAATACCACAGATATATTCGGCTTCCGTCGCCACGCAGACCGAAATCCCTGAAGTGGTCCCACATGGCCTGCAGAGCAACCCCTTCCTGGTGCCCTTCACCAACACCAGCCAGATGAAACACTAACACGCGCGCCCGGTCCTGCTGCGGTGGCCATCTGTCGAACCCGCTCTGTCGCCGGCCGGCCAGCGGCCTCACTCGGATACAAGATAAACACTGACAGACGCGTGCCATCCGGAGCCCCTTCGACCAACCCCTTCTCGCCACACTGCGTGAGGGACAGGGATGTCCTCAACAGCTCCATGGCTTTTGGGCAGCGCAGGGTGCGCCTTGCATTCGTCTGCGGTGCGATAATTCACTAATTGATTCCAGATTAAATACAAGCGCGCACCAGCGATTGGCCTCGGGCAAGTGAGCGCATTGTAAATGTTTAACTCTCCGGACGTTCCGAGCCAGCGCGAAACCCTTCGTGTCAATCAAGCGCACCACAAAGGCGTTTGATCCAAATGGGTTAAAAGCTGCCAACGCGCTCTCATCTATAAACTATTGGATTTAGCGGGCTGATCAGGACGGAGGGTGAGGGTGGCCGGTGCTTTCACAGCTCCAGTCAGCCCGATGCGCGGGGCGCCGTCGCGCCGGCGCTCTCCGGGCAGGCGGCGGCCCGCGCCAACTGGCAATTAGCCCCGCTGACGGGATTAGCGCCTGCATCGGCCGCGCCGCTGTCACCTAATCGCGTTAGCCGCGCCGGCGCGTCCGCACTCGCATCACACCCGGGCGCGGGCGCGCGCGACGGCCCGGAAACGTGACGTCACAACACGGCTGATGCAGCTGCGATCACCGATATGTGATGTGATGATCACCGCTTGTGATGGCTGGCTCCGTGGGTGTGTTCGCGTGGGTGTTGAACTACAGATACGTCGTCAATGTCTCATCTCTAACTTTTTGTCGGGCATAGAATACCCAAAATGTGATTCGATTGATGGTCACCGGTCACCCTGTCTGATAAATGGTCACTCGGTGGCACGGAAGAACGGCGGGGCTCGGAAGGCGCTGGCACGGCTGCCCTGGTGGCTACCCGGTGGTCCTGGTAGCTTGAACATAGCGGACGTTGAAAGCGCGATTCTCGCACATAGGCTGGAGTTGGGAGTGTACGTAAGCGCGGATGTTACATGCAGTGCGCGCATGAAGTTGTCACCCCTCTGGGACTGTTTATATACTCCAAAGAAGAACTTTCAGAGCATGATTTTTTCGTCTGATCGCATGCCTTAATGAATATGAAAATTGTGGCTTCATATTAAAATGCATATGTTAATGTTTGCTTCGTGGTTCCGCAAACATGAGCCCAGTTTGGACCCGTGGCACTTCATAACATGCATTAGATACGGTAGGAGCTCGAGATAACGATGATGTAGACATGAGCGTCTCAAAAGCGCACCGTGTGTTGCCGGCGGGGTGATTAAAATTAATGAACACGTGACATTGATCTTCCCATCAAGCATGGCAGCAGGTGCTCATTCGTGTCATCGGATAAGGTACAGCACGAGTGCAAACATGCACAACGCATTGCTACAGACCGCAATTGATAATTTTTGGGGAGGTTGACTGTAAGCACAAGGTAATGAAGCGAATCACATAAATTTGTCATCCCTATAAGCGGACCAGCGCCGGGCGGCAAGCGTCATTCTACACCCAAAGAAATTTCATACTTTCACAATATCACTCACCGCCCATTTCTATTCTAAGGGCGTAATTCTACGTGCGAGTTCTTGAACTTCCCCAATTGAAAATGTCCCCGGGAACGGAAATCGGAGTTCATGTTTAATTCAGCTGCGAGGCCGCCCGCACGGCGCCGCTACGTGCGCGGCCGACTTTCCTTGAGTTCACCGCCGAGCAGCGACCGAAATCCTTGAGCAATCCACTTTATGTGGCTGTTGCTGGAAAATCGTCTAGTTAGCACAACACTGGCAGACCCTTCGGCTTGTTTGCGAGCGACACGTGAGCTGGCGCCTGATGAGGGGCCGAGGCCGGGGCCGGGGCGGGCGGCGCGGCCGGCTGGCCGGGGCCGGGGTGGGGGCGGATGGTGCGGCGCGTTGGCCGGCTGAGCCGGCCGGATCAGCCGCTGGCCACACACGCTAAACGGCGGCGCAAACAGCCGCGCACAGGTGTCACCGGCGGGACCTGTCGCCGCCCGGCGCGCCACGGTCCGACGGCGGCCGAGCGCCCATCTGTCACTGTTGACACACCGGCCGCATGTTGTTAAATCGCTATTCGATGATGAGGTCGGAGCACGTGCGGCCATCTGGCGA